GTGGGCTGAGTGAAATATTACTGACAGAGAATTAGTGTTGACTAAGAAAACCACAGTAGAAAGAGTCTGGTGGGCAAATGAATTATGGGCATTTAATATGGGTGCTCCAATTGCACCAGGGTTCTTCTGGTTGGATCCGTTTTGAGGTCGAAATGGAAAGTGTTTCGTTACAATGTTGACGTTAAAAGCGAGAAGTATTGAAAGTATAATATGCCCTCAATAACTGTACGGCCTTCGACTCCGTCCGCGTGCAGATAGACGAGCCGATCAGAGGTGTGTCAAAATTCATTGGTTAGCAGATTGTCCCAATTACGGCCAACGCTAAGGGTGAAAAGTATTGAAAGTGATTGACGGGCTATCAGAGCGAGCGAGACGTGAGCACGATCTTGTCGATCTGTGAGAAACATTTATATTTTAACCCTTTGCACTCGATTTGTTTTCAATGTTGTTAGCTGTAAACTTATATTTATTTTTAGGGAAATGAATTAAAGTAATTTATAGCGGTAGAATTCAATGTTTTATATTTATTTTATTTATTATTATTATTATTATAAGATTGTATAGTGCTAAAAATAAAGTATAATAAATTTTTATTGTCATCTCCAGCATGACATACAAGTGCAAAGGGTTAAAGTATGAATTACGGAACTACAGTATCTTCAACTGTTCGATGTCGAACGCCTTATTTCTTTACAAATACCATACCTGAACGAATGCAAATATTTACTTACCTTACTGTCACTGCGTCGATATAATCTGAGATAAAATATACTCGTCTAACGCAGGCCAAATGCATCTATAATATATTCTAACGAAGAGTTAAAGCAAAACGAAGAAGAGTTACATGTTTACCTGAAAAAATAAGTACTTGATCCGTTGAAGGAATTAGTATCATTTTGATTTTAAAATGACGTGTATACTCGTCGAACGCAGTTAACTAGTTAAGTTATCTAAATTCAATAATCGTTATAACTCTGCGGTTGCATTAACTTACACAAAATATTTTCTATTCAATACACGTCTGCTGACATCAAGAGGATAGTGCGTTCATATCTTATTTCCCACGTGTTCTACTGTCCACAGATGTGGACCCTGGAACAAGCCATTTTTGGTTTGAAGTTCGTTTATTAGTCACGAGAAGGCGATTAGTTGCTGGTTGTTTTAAGTAGTAGTAGAAATATCAGATTGCTTATTCGATAGGTTGTCCGGTTTAAAAGATTTAATGAAATTGAAAGTAAGAGACATAGCTCGATATATTTCAAGCATTTCTTTCGGGTAACGTGACTATAAAGAACAATGAAACGGTTTTGCAATCATTTTCTTCGATGGAAACTATCTTCATTGACAAAACTCCTTTGTTAACGCTATAACTCTGAAAATATTGTATTTAGAACTATTTTGCTGTTTTCCACTATCTGTTTTTCATCGTTAAAAGAATTAGTATCATTGCAATCTTTACGATTACTTGTATACTCGTTAAACACAGTTAAACGGTTAAGTAATTTCTTCCAAAAATGTGCGGACATCTCAGAATTGAGAAAATTCGAGAAACATATTACGAGAATCTGTTTCGCCGCAACAGAGTTAGCGTAACTGATGAAGTTCATCCTGAAGATTGGTCCCTATTCAAACATCGGTATTCGAAACAACGATTTCATATCCACCAACCGAACATTACACGCCGCGATGCGACAAAGATTGAGTCAGAAGAAACGAGGGAAAGGAGTTAGGGAGATAGAACGAGACGGCCGGGTTTAGATTCAATTTGCCTTCATTGAGACCAATTCGTGCCAATTCACCCACTGCTTCTTCTTTCAGAGTCACAACATGTACGCGTACCGATACTTCGCCTGTGAAGCCCTCTGCCTGTTCAATATCTTTTTTCAAATGTACCTGATGAATCGGTTCTTCGACGGCGAGTTCCTTAGCTACGGACTGCGCGTGCTACAATTCTCTGATGTGCCGCAGGAGGAACGCGTGGACCCCATGGTCTATGTGTTCCCCCGTGTGACCAAGTGCATCTTCCACAAGTATGGTGCCTCGGGAACGATACAGAAACACGACTCCCTCTGCGTGCTGCCGTTGAACATCGTCAACGAGAAGACCTATATCTTTATCTGGTTTTGGTTTACTATCCTCTCCGTGATGCTGTTGGGCCTGATGGTCTACAGAGCTGCCATCATTTTTGCGCCGGCCATTAGACCCCGGCTGCTTCATCTGTCATCGCGACTCTTGTCCATCGAGACCTGCCACAGCATTAGCAAGAAGATCCAACTCGGCGATTGGTGGATCCTCTACGTACTGTCCTCTAACATAGACTCGCTGATCTATAGGGACTTCTTGCAGGAGCTTACTAAGAAGATGAGCGATGTGCAGTCAGTCTCCGCTTAATTGAGCGAGGATTCATGACTGCTAAGCGAAAGACAACGACAGTTCTTTACGTGACTGACCGCGCTCCCCTCTTACTCCCTTCTTTTCTCTTTTTCTCTTTGAATCTCATTCAATTTTGTTATCTTTCTTTTCCTTCCTTCCTTCCTTCCTTCCTTCCTTCCTTCCTTCCTTCTTTTCCCTTTTATCCTTTTTCCCACTCCTTCCCTCTCATTCGTCGAGAACACGAGGAGAGTATCGATAGAATCTATGTCCTCGTTAGAAAGCCATCACGTAATTCTGTAACGATTTGCACCGAGTATTTCTCATATTCAGCTGAGTTTAAAGAGAACGATCGCTGCGCACGACTGATAGAGATCGTTACAGACACGCGATGACGCTCTAACGCCGCGCAACCAACCACTTTAGGATCTCCGTATGCGTGCCCCGAGGCTGCGTGTGTGAGCGTGAGTAGTTGTGTAAACCGTAATCGCTTCAACGGTTTTAACAAGAATCGTTTCACTCTCGATTAGTGTTCGTCCCCCAAAGTAAAACTACGTTTATTTCGAGAACTAATTGCTCAAAACAAACCGACGGATGCGTTTTATCGTACCGCCACGTTCGACACGCCGACATAGGAATTCTCGATCGAGCGGATGTTAGAGTAGAATCACCTTTTATTGTGCAACATTCTTTTACCGTGATATCATTGAGCGACACCTAATGCGACTTGCATCGATTGTAATGCGTCCCATTACGAGAAATTCTATTTTCATATACATTCCTATCTAGCGTATTCGAATGATTTCAGGGAGGATGGTTCCATCCCGAAATGGACTACAATAATTTTCTTACGGTAACGATTATCTAGGTTTCTTATCACTTCTTCGATTGCACTGTGTCTTTATAGTAGGTGGGCAAGATATAGTGAACTTATAAAACTGATCACCTGTAGAACAATTCTTAAATAATACGGTGAAATGTAACACGGTATTCATTTTAAGATCACTGAAATTTTTAAATTCGAATTTGTGTTGAGGCTTTTCTTTGGACCGCGGAGGAGCTTTGCGTTCTTCGCCTTTCGAATTTCACCGAAGAAACTCATCCGAACGTACGGTCGTCTAAAGAAGATTTTATGATTTTTCTATATTTTGACCATCAACCATAAATGTGAATGAGATCCTACGTGATTACAGGTAACTGTTCATCTCGTAATATTTTGTACTGATTATTTTACCCACTTGTGTTCTATCGACGAGAAAATGGTGTCGAAAAGTCTGTTTAATAGAATACTTTGAGCAAGCGTATTGAAGACTTCTGCTATCTTTGGACCAATGTTCACTGCGTTCACATAATGTCAATTATGCAACTTGCTGTTCACTCATTACTTCATTACCAAGATCTATGCATGAGTTCCTACTGGTCATACTCACCAATTTACTGATTCTGTAGTCTCGTTTCACTTATTCAGACATTGGTTTCATGTCAATCGTGCCCTGATTTGATAATGTGAAACGTAGTTCTTTTTAGAAGAAAGTTAGCATGTGGCCTTCACTCGATTAAGATTTTTTTTAGGTTATATTGCGTGAGCTGGCCAGCATCAATGTTTCTGATCCATGTGTCCAAATTTTGGGTGCACTTTGAGATCATTGGCAGTGACTGTTTGATTTAATTCTCCCGTGCTCAGCTTGGCAGCTAGCCATTGTTTGATATTGAGTATATTTTAACTGCTAATCAATAATATCAACACTGACGCATATCCCATCATTAACCATTTATGTTTTGAATTATGTCACTTTTATGTTTTATTGCTTCCTTTATTCTAGATATATCAAGATTGTTTAAATAATCCATAGGTTAAGTATACATGTTTTTACGATTATTAGAGTATAAATACATATAGTGGTTAAATTAAATTATATAAAAAGGTCTAAGCATATTTTATTCGCAGTAATATAAAGTATATTCAGGACATAAAGGGTTAAATTGTATGGAGACAATTTGTTATTGGTGATACATCCTCTCTCAAGCACAATCATTTTTTTTCATGAAAACTTGTAAAGTGGAAGCCATATGTACAGCCAGAGTGTGAAAATTCAGCAGACTGTGTAGCTTTTATCGCAATGGCTATTATTAGGATGCAAATACTTTTGTTTCTTTTTTAAAAATCTTATTCCGTCCTTTCAGTGATTTGTCGATTACACTGGAAAACATATCTGAGTTGATTTAAGTTAGTTTCATACAAATGGATTTTATTCTGTTTTTCTCTTAAAAAGTCTAAAGCGTAACTGTCTTATAGAAATCTACTGATTTCTTGGAATTATAGTGAATTGTAGTAAAGTAATGTTATTCTTCTCTCGAATTAATGAATTTGGATTTGAATACCTTTAATCTTTAGTGGCAAGAAGATTGTGATTATAATGAAATTGTTAATCCTTAATAGTTTTAATCCTAAGCCAATTACGTGAATTGCAATATAAAAGTGCACTATATCTAAATTCTTCACAAGGAATTTAACTTTTCCTGTAAACGAATGATACGGTGTTGTCGTAACAGTAGGATAGTTCTGTTACTCACTAAAGAGTAACCTGCAATCTGACATATTTATATCATCTTCGAAATTTTATAAATAATCTGTTACAACTTGAGGCAGGCTTTAAATCAGTAGTTTTCAGCACTCAAGTATTGAACTTTAAGGAAAATATAGTACTCTTAAACAAACGCGGACATACCAGTTGTGAAAATAACAATCATATTCTTTCTATGGCTCATGTACTCATTTTGATCCACTCAGTCGAATGTAAAGTAACACATGTATGGATTTGTTTTTAAGACATCAGATACAATTTGGTCGAATACCTCTCTAACGTTTCATCTTGTGAGTCAATAGAAAATAACTGACTCGTATCGCCATGACAATGGAATTCGAATCTCTAACTATTTTTGACTCTATGATAGCCATTGCGGCTTACGAACCCCTAAATCATAGTAAATCCATAGTTATCTTGCATGACTCGGCATTTTAATTTGAATGCTGACTGTTTGTCAAAAACCGTCTCGAGATTCCTAGCACTGATCTATTTTCCAGATGTCCTAACGAGCATTAAGGTTTTTTTCAAGACGTAACATGTCTTGTGTCTTGTGTTTGACGAATGTGATATTAGTTCTAGCTGTACTCTGGTGGAAATGGTTATGACTATTTTCTAATGAATTTCTTTCGGTATTCGATGCTTTGTTATGTTTTTATGGGGTTTCATCGTGGGCTTGACTTGATGGCAACTGATCAGAACTTCGAGTAGATTATCGAGTGATATCGATCCGCAGCTATTGTTTAAATCCATTGATACTGAACTGCAAAAATGCAATGTTCTCCTCTTCGTTACTGACATAGGAACCTTAGTGTGGTACATTACACTCGTCCCTCCATTTACGCGGAGTATCCGTTTCACGCGGATTCCTTTTACGCGAATAAAAATCGCGTAAACAGAATCTGTCAGTAAAAAAAAATGCCATGGGGGTCATCGATAACTTCCAACCGAATCGAATTACTATAGTTCACTCAATTAAGCGATGATTACTTAAAAACATTTCTGTATTATAAATAACACTATCTAATGCGGTTACATTCAGCTAGATCAACGCTCTATAATAATAACGCAATTCAATTACATGATTTAGTATTATATTTTGTTTATTTTATGCATTTTGCTCTATGAAATCGTATGGCATTCAACGTGTTATCAGAAAAAAATGATAATAATAACATTTCAGAAAGCAAAAATAAATTTTATTCGGTGTCGCTAAATACAGGTCGCGTAAATTGATGTACGCGTAAATAATGTTGAAATCTAAAAAAGAGACTTGCATACAAAAAGTGCCGCGTAAATGGAGGAACGGGTGTATCGGTCATCAAATACTATGCAGAGATGGAAAGAAGTTCGTGAGACAGCACGAAGCAACAAGGGTTTTTTATTATGTACTTTGTCTACTCTCACTGTCACGTAGTCAGATTAGTATATATGCGTGACCTTATTGACAAATAACATATTAGTGCCAAAAATCTATGTGAAAAGGAACGTGCTTCCTACTTCCTTACTTGGTCAGCTGCACTTACATTTTTTCTACGTGATGTCTTCCCATCTCTAAATAATTATTTTGAGCGTGGAAAATGGAAAATGAAAGAACTTCCATTTGTGTTCTTTCATGATCGTCATATACATGAAGATTTTTTTTTGTTGCAACACAGAATTACTAAAAATTGTGATTGAAATTTGATAAGAAAACACATATCTTATCGTAGAAATATATTTCCTTCATTCGTAGAAATACACTTCCCCAAAAAGCGGTACACCTGTTTTGTAGAATAAAAGACAGCAGTCTACGCGTTCCCATTACGTCAATTATACCTATGCTTATTGCATGTAACAGTTAACAGGATAATACAAGCAACAAACTGTATTTGTATTATATACGTGACATTTGTTGGAAATTAAAAATGGGTAAAAACCGAGCCAAATCAT